TTCATTGTTTTTGATTCTTAACTACTGTGTTCTACTCTGAAGGCTGCTGTGTGTGATGGAGCCCCCCCCCCCGGGTGAATGGGGCGGGGCCGGTCCTACCTGGGTCAGGAAGCGGTCAGAGGCGTTGTTGTGGCGTGCCAGGACGGCCGCAGACGGCGGGCTGCTGTACTCAAACTGCGGGTCGTAGCTGAAGCCTGACTTGAAGAACTTTTCCTTCTCTTTGTCCACGTTAGACGGCTTGATGGCCGACAGGATGCAGAACCTCCTGCCGTTTTCTGCCTCCCGTGGCATCGGCGCCCTGTGGGGGGGTGGCGGCGCAGGGCGATGGCCGTCATGGATGCAGGTCTTCCTGAGCTGTGGGACGGTGCGGAGGCTCAGCCCCAGCTTGCTGCCCGTCACCATGAGGGTCGGGGTGGGAAGATCACTTGACACCCAGTGGGTCTGGACGGGTTTCTCCGCACCATCCGGGACCCGGTTCTTCTTCTGAGCCGGGCTCAGGCGGTTTCTTCTGCCCGACGAGGAACCGCCCCTCCCAGACGTTTGGGGCCTCCTGCACGCGGACCGCTTCTTCCTCTTCTTCTTCTCCTCCTCGGCTCGCAGCAGGACGTTGTAGCTGCTGGAGCCAGCGTCCCGGAAGCCCCTGAGGACAGAGGAGGAGATCTTTTGGAGGCACACCTGGCTCGGACTCACCACCCTGTCAGCAGAACTAAAGATAGACTTCTTAGAGAAATCCACCTCTGGCCAGTGAAGTTGTTCTGAAAGAGGAAGGAGGTCAGAGGAGAGGCGTCAGAGCAGATGGAGGAAGATCTGATGTGATTCACAGCTGAAAACATCCTGATTCTCCTCGCAGATGTCGGCCATCATGATCTACTGACTCCCACTGAAGGAGACGCTAAATCACAATCACTAACTTTACTGAACAGAGATCTGATAAACCTGCTGGATGGCGGTGTTCTGTCAGATGAGCGTACCCAGACTGACTATGGGTATGCTGGTCTGACAGAGCAGCAGCAGCAGAGACGATCAGAGAGGGAACCAGATCAACAACCTTTGATTGATTGATTGACTTTATTGATCTGACAGTGGAGGAATGCACTCAATCCACCAGCTCAAAAAGTCAAAGGAACAGAAAGGAGGATGGGATATATACGGTGCGCCCACATATGATGGCTTTTTTATAGCAGGATTATTATACAGGGTTATTGCACAGAGT